GACTCATAGGAGGGGCAGAGACAGGCAGCTGGGGCAGAGGACATACAAGGCAGCAGCTAGTGGGCCTGGTGATTCCACATTCATGTGCAGATAAATCAGGAGGAACAACTGAGGAGTGAGACAGACTGTGCATGCAACCCAGGGTTGCAGCATAGGAAACTAAAGCTTCAAACCTCTGGTAGTAAAAATCTGTGGGGGTTGCAGTGGCAGGAGAAACTCCCAGTCTCACAAAAGAGTCTGTTGGAGGGACCCACAGAGTCCTAGAATATACACAAACCAACTGACCTGGGACTCAGCACCAGAAAGACACAATCTGCTTGTGGGTAGCAGGGATAGTGACTGAAAATGGGGCAAGAGCTGAGCAAGCAGCATTGTTCCCTCTCTGATCCCTCCCCTGCCCTGGGGAATACTTAAGGCTCTGCCCATTACTATGTAACAGGGTAACTGGCAACCCGAGAAAAAATATGGCCCAAATGAAAGAACAGATCAAAGTTCCAGAAAAAATACAACTAAGCAATGAAGAGCTAGTCAGATGCAGAGTTCAAAACACTGGTAATCAGGGTGCTCACAGAAATGGTTGAGTATGGTCACAAAATAGAAGAAAATGTGAAGGCTATGAAAAATGAAATAAAGGAAAAGGTACAGGGAACCAACAGTAATAGGAAGGAAACTGGGACTCAAATCAACACTTTGGACCAGAAGGAAGAAATAAACATTCAACCAGAACAGAATGAAGAAACGAGAATTCACAAAGATGAGGAGAGGCTTAGGAACCTCCAGGACAACTTTAAACATTCCAACATCTGAGTTGTAGGGGTGCCAGGAGGAGAAGAAGAAGACCAAGAAATTGAAAACTTTTCGGACTTCTGCCAAGATGGAGGCATAGGTGGATGTGCTGTGCCTTCTCACACAATCAAGTTTAGAGACAACTAAATATTAGCAACAGAAAACATAGCCAGAACACGGAAAATTGAACTTTTCGGAAGTCCGTTAACAACAAATTCTTCAGCCTGACCGGTAAGGGGCGAAACCAGTGGCTGGTGAAGCGGGGTTGCACAGGAGGACTCAGTCAGACGGACTCAAGTGCGCGGAATCCAAATGTGCGGAATCCAGGCGCAGGGTTGGACCTAGTGAGCGACCCAGCGAGCGACCAGGTGAGCGACTGCGGGAGAGACAGCGGAGGAGCGGTGCTGCGTGTTGACTGTGGTCGCGCATTTGTGCGCGGGTGGACAGGCGAGGGAGTGGGCGGCGGGTCCCGCGGCAGCGGCAGTGGAGGGCGCTGCCATTTCCCTGCTCTGACCCCACCTCCACATACAGCGTCATAACCCAGCGACTCTGAGTGGCCTGGCCCAGGTGAACCACGTAAAGCGATGATCCTCACCCAGCTGTGAGAAACAGCAGAGGGGGTCGCCATTTCCCTGCTCTGACCACGCCCCCACATACAGCATCACAACCCAGCAACCTGGGAGTCCAAAGCGCCGCTTCTCACACTTAAAGGGCACGAACAGAACAAAAATGGCACAGGAAGATCTCAAAGCCCCAGAACCTATAGATCTAAGCGATGAAGAAATAGCAAAACTCTCAGATGCACAGTTTAAAACACTGGTGATCAGGATCCTCACAGAACTGGTTGATTATACCCACAAACTAGACAAATATATGAAGGCGAAACTAATTGAAATGAATGGAATTGCACAGGGCACCAATAGCAATGAAAAGAAAACTGGGACTCAAATCAATGGAGTGAACCAGAAGAAAGCAAATAATGGCCAAACAGAAAAGAGTGAAGAAGCAAGAATTCAAAGAAATGAGGAGAGTCTTAGGAACCTCCAGGACATCTTTAAACGCTCCAACATCCGAATTATAGGGGTACCAGAAGGGGGAAAGGCACAGCCACCAGTGGAACACTTATTTGAACAAATAATAAAGGAGAATTTCCCCAATCTGGCAAAGGAAATAGACTTCCAGGAAATCCAGGAAGCTCAGAGAGTACCAAAGAAGTTGGACCCAAGAAGGAGCACACCAAGGCACATCATAATTACATTAGCCAAAATTAAAATGAAGGAGAGAATCCTAGAAGCAGCAAGAGCTAAGGGGACAGTCACCTACAAAGGAGTCCCCATCAGACTGTCAGCAGATTTCTCAAAAGAGACCTTCCAGGCAAGAAGGGGCTGGAAAGAGGTATTCCAAGTCATGAAATCCAAAGACCTACAACCAAGATTGCTCTATCCAGCAAAACTTTCATTTAGAATGGAAGGACAGATAAAGTGCTTCTCAGATAAGATTAAATTCAAGGAGTTCATCATCACCAAGCCCTTATTATATGAAATGTTAAAGGGACTTATTGAAGAAAAAGAAGTTAAAGAAACATGAACAGTGAAAGGACAACAAACTCACAGTTATTAACAACCACACCTAAAACGAAAGCAAACTAAGAGGACAGCTAGATCAGGAGTGGAAACATAGAAATGAAGATCTCAAGGAGGGTTAGCAACAGGGGAGTGGGAGGAGGAGAAGGGGGAGAAGGTATAGAAAATAAGTAGCATAGACAGTAGATAGAAAATAGATGGGGGGGCAAGAATAGCATGGGAAATATAGAATCTAAAGGACTTGAGACACATGGTCATAAACTAAAGGGGGGGTAATGGTGGGGATGGGGGTAGGGTGGAGGGGAATAAAAGGGGGAATAGAACAACTGTAACAGCATAATCAATAAAAAATTTAAAAAAAAAAGAAAACTTTTCTTTAAGATTTTATTTATTTATTTTTTGAGAGGGAAAGGGAAGGAGAAAGAGAGGAAGAGAAACATCAGTGTGTGGTTGCCTCTCACATGCCCTAAACCAGGGACCTGGCCTGCAACCCAGGCATGTACCCTGACTGGGAATCAAACCAGTGACCCTTTGGTTCACAGGCTTATGCTAAATCCACTGACCTATACCAGCCAGGCTGAAAACTATGTGAAAATATAATGAAGGAGAACTTCCCCAATCTGGTAAAGGAAACAGACTTTCAGGAAGTCCATGAAGCTCAGAGAGTCCCAAAGAAATTGGACCCAAGGAGGAACACACCAAAACACATTATAATTACATTATCCAAGATTAAAGATAAGGAGAGAATTTTAAAAGCAACAAAAGGAGAGAGTTCACTACAAAGGAGTTCCATAAGACTATCAGTTTATTTCTTAAAAGAAACCTTGCAGGCAAGAAGAAGCTGGAAAGAAGTATTCCAGGTCATGAAAGGCAAGGACATACATCCAAGATTGCTCTATCCAGTGAAGTTATCATTTAGAATGGAAGGGCAGATAAAGTGCTTCCCAGATAAGGTAAAGTTAAAGGAGTTCATCATTACCAAGCCCTTATTACATGAAATGCTAAAGGGTCTTACCTAAGAAAAAAAAAGATGATCAAAACTATGAGCAGTAAAATGGCAACAAACTCACAACTATCAACAACTGGACCTAAAAGAAAAACAAAAACAAACTAAGCAAACAACTAGAACAGGAAAAGAATCACAGAAATGGAGATCACATGGAGGGTTATCAGGAGGGAGGGGTGGAGGAAAAGACACAGGGAATAAGAAGCATAATTGGGTAGGTACAGAATAGACAGGAGTGGTTAAGAATAGTATAAGAAATGGGGAAGCCAAAGAACTTCGATATACGACCCACAGACATGAACTAAGGAGAGAGGAATGCTAGAGGAAAGCAGAATGTAGGGCGGAGGGGGACAAAGGGGAGAAAAAATGGGACAACTGTAATAGTATAGTCCATAAAATATACTTAAAAGTGAATATTATTTAAATAGCAGTCTATTTAAAATGACAACATCATGGAGTAGCCATTGAGTTTTCCCTCTTTTTAAAAATTAAACTTATTGGGGTGACATTTGTTAAAAAGATTATATAGGTTTCCAGGGCACAATTCTATGACCCATCATCTGTGTACTTCATTGTGTGTCTAGCTCTCACGCTACTAAGACCTTATTTGTCCTGGTTCACAATGTAGTGCAAAAGCACGGGTGGGGGGGTAGAACTGCCAGTACCTGAGTGTGAATCAAGGCAGTGCCATCAGCTGTGCAAACGGTCGTATCTCCACCAACATCCACCTGCCGTAAAATAAGAATAATGCCAGTTTCACTCAATTTTTACATCTTCATCCAGGACATTCTTTTTAAAAAATATCCTATTTATTTTTAGAGCGAGGCGATGGAAGGGAGAAAGAGAGGGAGTGAGACATTGATCTGTTGTCTCTCGCCCACTCTAACCAAGGCACCTGGCCAGGAATCCAACCAGGGACCTTTCGGTTTACAGTCTGATGCTCAACCCACGGAACCCCACCAGCCAGGGCAAGGACATTCTTATTCATTTTATTAAATCTAGGCCCTTGAGCAGATGTCTTTTTAAAGTGCAGTGTGATGAAGTGGGAAGGAGGGTAAGGCTCTGCCATTCCACGCCCATGATCAAGGTTTCTCTGGAGAATGAGCCCTGGGTGTGTGACTGAGCTGTGAGCAAGGCTAGCTGGGACGCTTTTCAATTAAATACCATTTTCGCTTGAAAGAATGACTGGCAGACAAACCATGATTATTCAAATTGGAATATTTGGCAGATCCTGGCTTGAAAATGATTGAAGTACATCTGTTACTTCGAGGAAAACAACAAACAGTACTTGTCAATGACAAAATTTTGAGCTTTCAAGCTAAAACAGTTTTGCTCTTGAAGAATCTGCTGCTCCCTTAAGGAGCCTATTTATACTCAGAGTCTATCACCATGGAGACAGTCAACAGTAGGGAATCCAAGATCACTTCACCTCTCCCTGGAGCCTGAAAATGGATTCTCGAGGCCCTTTTATTCTGTGAAGTTGGCAGGGTGTCATCGACTGCCCGCTCGAAAGGGTGTCTGGGAAGAAAAATAAAAGGCACTCAAACGCGGCAATGTCATAAAGTCTCCCTGTTCCCGAAACCGTAAGCTGTGACAAGTCAAAGAAACCGGGGTGAAGGCTCACCATGCAGTTATTGACCGCGGTAAATCCACAGTCACTGAATACTCCCAGCTGGAAGATTGAGAGCAAGTATTCGACCCGTGTGCTCATTGGAAACTGGGCGGAAGAGAGGAGGAAGGTAAGGAAAGACAGAGGTGGACGATGCTCAGAGGGAGGACAGGCAGGGAGAGGCAGGGGTGAAGCCATTACTGTTGTCAAGTCAAGGCCCATAGACGGCTGCATCTTAAACTGCAGCATTAGGGTGTCTGGGTGCTACATCAGGAGTTACAGACAGGCAACCCTCAAGGTCCCCACTGTATCTTGCAAATATCGTAGCAGATGTGTCAATACAGTTGCACCTCATAGTACTCCTGTCAGTGGAGAGTTTCCAGGCATGTGATATTTCCTGTCCCTAATTCTCCTGAACCTTGATTTTTAAAATTGATATCTTTATTGATTATAGAGAGAGGAAGGGAAAGAGCAAAAGAGAAACATCGACTGGTTGCCTCCCATATGCACCCCTTTGAGGGACTGAGCTCTCAACCTGGGTACGTGCCCTGACTGGGAATCGAACCCCTGAACTTTTGGTGTATGGGATGATGTTCCAACAAGTTCAGCCATACCAGCCAGGGCTCTGAACCTTGGTTTGAAGACTCTCTGTTCTCCCTGGCCTGGCCCTTACCTGCCGGGTACCTGCCAAGGTAGGCTTGACATTCCCTGTGTTGACGTCTGGGATGGGTTGCTGTTCTCTGGCACCTGTTCCATGCCTTGCCCTGCTGCCTGTGCATTTCAGATTCTACTTTCAAAAACAACTGGGCTCATGGTATTTCTGTGTTCTTCAGAGGCTATTACAAAATGCTTTGCCTGAATTGGCCTACTTAAAATTGAATATCTTCATGTTTGGCAATCGACACTGAGCCACTTAAAGTTTTGCAGGGATATCTAAATATCCTCACATTTTCTTGGGAAATGGGCCAAGGAAAAAGGGTGATAGAATTAGTAGCTTTGGTGTAAGTGGGAAGATTGGTAGTGATTTCTGAGAACTGGAAAAGGCTGCTTTTGTGGAGCACATTAGCATTCACCACTCTTCTGGCCAGGCATGACTGGTGGCCATTCTTAGATCTGAGTGCACTTGGTCTTGTGTGAGGAGCAAATATGTGTCATGGAAGTTCCAAGGGCAAAAAGGACTGTCTGAGCAATCCCTTCAGACTCCTGAAGGCAAGGCAGTGCCCAGGGATATTGTGATCTGGCCCTATACCTAGAGAAAATTGCATAAAGAGAGTTGAGCAGGAATGATGTAAGAAAGAGAGCAGGTTAGGAAATTTGAGGTCCTTGTTCTATCACAGAAGCATTTAAAAAATTACTGTTGCTGAGCTAAAATAACTGGGTAGGGGCACTGGAAAACAGTTGAAGCTCTATAGCAACAAATCAAACGCCTGATTTAGAAAAAGCCACATTCAAAATGGTAGAGAACCCCATGGTATTTTCACTTGTCGTTGTCACATGCCCTCACTATGACATGGTACAGCGTGGGGGAAGCAGTGGCCTGGCTCCCAGTTCCCTCCCTCAAACTCAGGAGTAGAGCAACATTCTAACCTGCCTGGGGGCTGCCTGATAAACAGATAAGTCTCTGTTTTGCCTAACTAGGAGCTCAGGAAAAGTGACATAGTTCATATTTTGGCTAAGAAAAGCTGTGAAAAGCAGCAGTAGCCACAGCTAGTGGGAGATTCCAGACTACAGACCTGCAAATGTCAGGGGCAAGAGATCACAGGGAGAGAAATGCAACAGAACATCTAAGGCCCTTAGAAGAAGCAGGGAAGAGAGTCTTTAGGAAACCAAGGCATTTTAAAGAAGTCATGTACAGGGGGAAACACACACACACAAAAAAGCTCGGGTGAGCGGCATGCTCAGAAAGGTCCTTAGAAGTCCTGAAGTCTTCATACCAAGCTGACTTCAAGGTCCAGAACCTGCCCTATTAGTTAGTAGAGATGTTCTCTTGAATGGAGCTAGTTTGCAAAGACTCAGAGAGATGGCTTCCCCCCACCCCCCGCAAATGTCCAGTATTTAATGAAACATCTTAAGGTATATGAAGACACAGGAAAACATGGCGCACTCAAAGAAAAACACTAAAGTAGCTGAAACTGTCTCTGGAGAAACACAGGCATCAGAAGTATATGACAAAAACTTTAGAACAACTATCTCAAATATACTTAAAGATCTGAAAGAATACATGGACAAAGAACTACAGTTGACTCTTGAACAATGTGGGGGATTGATCCATCTCTTGTGCAGTCAATAATTCATGTATAACTTTTGACTCCCCTCAAACTTAACTAACTATATTGGTAGCCTACTGTTGACCAGAAGCTTTACTGATAACATAAACTGGCAATTAACACATATTTTGGATGATTATATATATCATAATATATATTAGTATTCTTACAATAAAGTAAGTTAAAGAAAAGAAAATGGTACTAAGAAAATTATAAGGGAGAGAATATATATTTATAGTACTTATTGAAAAAAATCCGCATGTAAGTAGACCCACACAGTTCAAACTCACGTTGTTCAAGGGTCAACTGTAAAGAAAACCAGAAAATGATATATGAACAAATGAAATTTCAATTAAAAAGGTATAAATTATAAAAAAGAACAAGACAAGAATTTGGAGCTGAAAAATACAATAACTAAATTGACAAATTCACTAGAGACATCCAACTGTAGACTTCAATAAGCAGAAGAAAGAATCAGAGAGCTTGAAGGAATATCATTCAAAATAGTTGAGCCTGAAGAACAAAAAGAATGGAAGAAAGAAAACAGAGCCCAAGGACTTGTAGGATACCATCAAGCTGTTCAGCATACAGATTATGAGAGAAAAGATAGCATGAAAGGGGCAGAGAGATCGTTTGAAGAAATAATGGCTGAAATCTTCCCCAATTTGAAGAAAAGGCATGGATCTACAAATCTAAGAAGCACAATAAACTCCAAGTAGAACAAATCCAATTAGACCACCCCAGAGACACATTATAATCAACTGTTGAAGGTCAAAGACATAGAGTATCTGGAAAGCAGCAAGGGCAAAATGACTTACCATGTGCAAAGGACACTAGAAGATCATCTGTAGATTTTTCAGCAGAAACCTTGCATGTGGAAGGCAGTGGGGCAACACATTTAAAGTACTCCAAGATAAAAACAAAACTATCAACTGAGAACACAGTAGCCAGAAAAACTGGTCTTCAGAAATGAAGGACAGAGGAAAACATGCCCAGATAAACAAAAGGAGAGGAAGCTCATTGCCCCTAGACCTGCCCTGCAAAAAAAAAAAAAAAAAAAAAAAAGCCAACAGAAATCCTTGAAGCAGAAATGGAGCAATGCTAGATAACTTGAAGCCATAAAAAAATATGAAGACCTATAGTTAAGGTAAATCTGTAGACAAATATAAAAGCCACTATTATAATTTTAGTTTGTAACTCCACTATTTTGTATAGAATTTAGAAGCAAATGCATAACATTATTATAAGTCCCTGTTAATTGGTGCCAATATGTTGATATGTGATTTGCGACATCAATAACATAAAGTGGGAGAGGATGGAGCTGCAAAGTTTTTATATGTGAGTTAAGTCAAGTTGGTATCAATTTAAAATATATGTTATAACTTTAGAATGTTCTGTGTAATGCTTATGAGAACTACAAAAATATCTCCAGAATAGACACAACAGGAGATGAGAAGGAATAAAAATGTATCACTTACAAAAAAAATCACTTAAACACAAAGAAAGATAATAATGGAGAAAATGAGAGACAAAAGCCCTGTAAGACATACAGAAAAAAGATAAAATGTCAAAAGTAAGTCCTTCCCTAACAGTAATTACAGGTAAATAGATTAAATTCTCAATCAAAAGACATAGATTGGAAGAATGGGGGTGGGAAGGGGACCAGAATCCAATTACATGCCATCTATGAGACTGTCTTTAGATCTAAGGACATGCACAGGTTGAAAGTGGAAGAGTAGAAAAAGGTATTGCATGCAAATAGTAACCAAAAGAAAGTAGAGTGGCCATACTAATATCATAAGAAAATAGATTTTAAGTCAAAAAATGTTCCAAGAAGCAAAGAGAAACAGTATATATTGAAGAAAAGGTCATGAAGAAATAGAAAATCTAAATAGACTGGTAACTAGTAAGGAAGTTAAATTAGTGATCAAAAGCCTCTCAAAAAATAAAAGCCCAGGACTGAATGGCCCCACTGGTGAATTTTACTTAGTACTTAACTCCTTCCACATGAGGAAGGCTGTACGTCAAAGCCCACGACTAACATCAGACCCAAAGGTTAAAGACTGAAAGCTTTTCTTCGAAGATGAGGATGCCTGCTTTTGCTACTTCTATTTAACATTGTATGAGAAGTTCTAGCCAGAGCAAGAAAAAGAAATAAAATTCATAGAATCAGAAAGAAGTTAAATCATCTCTACACGACATGGCCATATGTGCACCAAACCCTAAAGACCCCCCCAACCACGCCCCTACCCCCTTAAAACGAATGAACAAATTCAGCAAAGTAGCAGGGCACAGAATCAACATGCAGAAATAATGTGCATCTCTACACATTAACAGTGGACGATCTGAAAGAAGAAATTAAGAAACAATTTGATTTATAATAGCATGAAAGAGAATAAAATACTTTGAAATAAACTCGAAGAAGGAAAAAGTCTTATTTGCTAAAAACAAGTGCTTGTTGAAAGACGTAAGAGAAGACAGCAGCATATGATATGATGTCCTGTGCGCACGAACTGGAAGACCTCATGCTGTGAAGATGCCAATACTAGCCCAAACCATCTTCAGAACCAAAGCCATCTCTAGAATTTTCTTTCTTTTTTTTTTTTTGCACAAGTTTTAAAAACTGCCCTAAAATTCACTGGGAATCTCAGGAGACTCTGAATTGCCAAACAAATCTTGAAAAGAAGAACAAAGTTGGAGAACTCATATTTTCTAATCTCAAAACTCATGACAAAGCTACAATAATCAAAAGAGTAGGGTACTTACATGGAAAATCCTATAGACTCTACCCCAAAACTGCTCAAACTAATTAATGAATTTGGCAAAACAGCAGGATACAAAGTCAATATCCAGAAATCAAAGGCATTTTTATATATGAACAATGAATCAGCAGAAGCAGAAATCAAGGAAAAAATTCCATTTGATATAGCAAAAAGAAAAATAAAATATCTGGGAATAAACCTAACCAAGGAGGTAAAAGACCTGTATGCAGAAAACTACACAGCACTGAAGAAAGAAATCAGGGAAGACACAAACAAATGGAAACATATACCTTGTTCATGGATTGGAAGAATTAACATCATCAAAATGTCCATACTACCCAAAGCAATATACAGATTCAATGCAATACCTATTAAAGTACCAATGGCATATTTCACAGACATAGAACAAACACTTCAAAAATTTATATGGAATCATAAACGAGCCCGAATAGCAACTGCTCTTTTGAGAAAGAAGAACAAAGTAGGAGGGATCACAATACCTGATATCAAACTGTATGTATTACAAAGCCACTGTAATCAAAACAGCCTGGTACTGGCATAAAAACAGGCACATAGATCAGTGGAACAGAACAGAGAGCCCAGAAATCAACCCAACTCTCTACAGTCAGTTAATATTTGACAAAGGGGGCAGTAACATCAAATGGAGTAAAGATAGCCTCTTCAACAAATGGTGTTGGGAGAACTGGACAGCTACGTGCAAAAAAATGAAACTTGAGCACCAACTTACACCATACACCAAAATAAATTCAAGGTGGATAAAAGACTTAAATATAAGCCGTGACACCATTAAAGTCCTAGAGGAGAACATCGGCAAGAAAATCTCAGATATTCCACGCAGCAACATTTTTACTGATATGTCCCCTAGAGCAAGGAATATACAGGAAAGAATAAACAAATGGGATCTCATCAAAATAAAAAGCTTCTGCATGGCCAAAGAAAACAGTATTAAATTAAAAAGACAACCAACTGTATGGGAAAACATATTTGCCAATGATACCTCAGACAAAGGTTTAATCTCCAAAATATACAAAGAACTTACACGACTCCACTCTAGGAAGACATAGAACCCAATTAAAAAATGGGAAAAGGACTTGAACAGACACTTCTCCAAAGAGGACATACAGAATATCCAGAGACACATGAAGAGGTGCTCAATATCGTTAGCTATCAGAGAGATGCAAATTAAAACCACAATGAGATACCACTTTACACCAGTCAGGATGGCTATCATAAACAAAGCAACAAATAACAAATGTTGGAGAGGTTGTGGGGAAAAGGGGTCCTTAGTTCACTGTTGGTGGGATTGCAGACTGGTACAACCATTATGGAAAACAGTATGGAATTTTCTCAGAAAAATAAAAATTGACCTGCCTTTTGACCCAGCAATTCCGCTGCTAGGATTATATCCCAAGAATCCTAAAACATCAATTTCAAAGAATCTATGCACCACAATGTTCATAGCAGCACAATTTACAATAGCCAAGAGTTGGAAGCAACCTAGGTGTCCATCAGTAAATGAATGGATCAAAAAATTGTGGTACATATACACAATGGAATTCTATGCAGCAGAGAGAAAGAAGGAGCTCCTACCCTTTGCAACAACATGGATGGAACTGGAAAGCATTATGCTGAGTGAAATAGGCCAGGCGTTGAAGGACAAATACCATATGATCTCACCTTTAACAGGAAGCTAAATAACAAAATAAACAAGCAAATAGAATAAAAACAAAGACACTAAAATAGAGAACAAGTGGGCAGCGACCAGAGGGGAGAGGGAAGGGAATTTAAGGGGAAAAAATGGGGAGGGATTTTGAAGAACAAGTATGAAAGACACAGGGATGAGGACTGTGGGGGGGGGGGAATGGGAGGGAGGTGGGGAGACAGGGGCGGGGGGGGGGGGCTGGGATGGGAGAAATTGACCAAAAAAACTGTACTTGAAAAATAACTAAATAAATTTTAAAAAAAGAGAGTAGGGTACTGATGTGAAGGCAGACATGCAAACCTGTGGAGGAGAATAAAGAACCCAGAAGTAAACCCTCATGTATCTGATCAGATGGTTTCAACAAGGATACCAAGACCACTCAATTAAAAAAAAACTGTTTTTTTAAACAAATGGTGTTGGGAAAACTATCCACAGGCAAAAGAATAAAGTTGGAGCCTTACCTTGCACCATATACAAACATTAATTATAAATGGATCAAAGACCTAGATAAAGACCTAAAACTAGAAAACTCTCAGAAGAAAACATGGGAGAAAAGCTTCATGACACTGAATTTGGCAATTGTTGGATATGGCACTAAAAAACAGGCAACAACAACAAAATAGATAAACTGCACCTCGTCAAAATTAAAAACTTTTATGTATCAAAGAAAACTATCAATAAAGTGGAAAGGTGACTGACAGAATGGGAGAAAATGTTTTCAAATCTTCTCTGTGTTAAAGGAATATCCAGAATATATAAAAAAGTCTTTCAACTCAACACCAAAGACCAACCCGATTAAAAACTGGTAAAGAACTGGGAGAGACATTTCTCCAAAGAAGATAGGCAAATGGCCAATAAGCACACACAAAGATGCTCAACACCATTAATCATCAGGGAAAGAACTATTTAGCAAATCAAAATCATGAGTTACCACTTCATACCCACTAAAATGGCTATTCTTTAAAACACACACACACACACACACACACACACACACACACACACACACACACACACAGAAAATAGCCCCGGCTGGTGTAGCTCAGTGGATTGAGTGCTTGCTGGCTTGTGAACCAAACAGTTGCTTGTTTGATTCCCAATCAGGGCACCTGCCTGGGTAGTGGGCCAGGTCCCAGGTGAAGGGGTGCATGAGAGGCAAGCACACATTGATGTTTCTCTCCCTCTCTTTCTCCCTCTGTTCCCCTCTGTCTAAAAATAAATAAATAAAATCTTTTAAAACCCCCCAGAAAATAACAAGTCTTGGTGAGGATGTGGAGAAATTGGAAGTGTTGTGCCTCGCTGGTGGGAATGTAAAATGGTGCCATCTCTGTTGCAGCCAGTATGGCATTTCCCACGAAGTTAGACACAGAATTACCCCCTGACCCAGCAATGCCACTTCTGGCTATATGACCCCTCATCAGATTGAAAGCAGGGTCTTTGAGAGAGATACTTGTACATTCATGTTTATAGCAGTATTATTGACGGTAGCCAAAGGGAAGAAACAATTTCATGATGGATAGATGGATAAGTGAAATGTGGCAAATGCGTGCAATGGAATATGACTCAGCCTTTAAAAGGGAAAACATTGTGACTTGTGCTACTATGTCAACGAACTCTGAAGACACTATGCTAAGTGAAATAAGCCAGTCACAAGAAGACAAGTGGTGTATGATCCCACCTAAAACAGTTGCCTTGCGTAGTCAAATCCATACAGATGGAAAGTAGGATGGCGGGTGCCAGGGGCTGAGGGAGGGGTGCGGGGCAGTTGCTGAACAGGGACAGAGTTTTGGGTTGAGATGATGAAAAAGTTCTGCAGACGGCAGCAGCGCTGTGTGTGATAAAGTGAATGTGCTTAATGCCACTGAATGGTGCACTTTAAAGTGGCTAAAACGGTAAGTCTCATTATGTATACATTACCACAATAAAAATTTAAAATATCAACCAGGAAACACAATAACTTAGCAGGGAGAAAAGTGAGTTGGGAGCAGTGAACCCAAAGAAGGGGAGGAGGCGAGTGTGGGAGAGGAGCAGGGAGAGAGGAGATGAGCAAGGGACTGGTGGGAGGGGTCCGGGATGGCGGGGCGCCCCCCCCCTTTCCCAGGACTGGAAAGAAAGGGACAGAATTAAGCCTGCATTGTGTGGGGTCCTGATTTACCCTTTCCCTGCCCAGCTTCTGATGACCCAGGAGGTGAGGGGTTGCAGCAGAAGTTTGAGAAGGGAAGTCACAGAAGTTGTGCTGAAAATTTGATTTTTTCCAGTTCTCCAAAGCCACTGAGAAGACTCCCCAGTCCACGTACAGGACAGGGTACGTTCCCTTCCCTGGCCACAGACCGGACCAGATCTCCAGGTGGTATGGGAGGAGTAGAATTGAGGTGAGAGGAAGTAGGGGCCCCACACTCAGGCTGGGCCCCTCCCCAGAGCTCAGAGACCTGACCAGGCAGCTTCTCCTGGGTCCAGTGCCCTCTTGGGAACACAGGAGTAGGCTCAACTGTACTGTCTCCAGCCCAAGGGCTGCTGGTGGCACATGACCTGATGAGCAGAGATCTGTGCAATCGGAGCTGGTAGCCTCCCCCGCCCTGCATCCCAGCCCCTCATCTCCCCCATCCCTCCACAGGATACAGGCCAAGGATGTAGGAGACAAACAACGAGTATGGTTAACATTGAACTGGGGTGACTATTGTGAGGGATCAGGTGGTGGTGAGGTCTGGATGACAGTGCTTAGTGTCATCTGAGCCCCAGTCAAGGACACATTCAGCTCCTCCTCCCTGGTGTCTGTGGCACGTCAGGTTCTAGGCCTGTGGAGCCGGGAGCAGGGCGATGCAACCTCAGGACCCCCCTTTCCCACCACCCCCTGAAGGCCGGGTGGGGGCAGGGAGGCACAGGATGAAGGGTGGACATCTGTCAGAATGGGAGCATCTGGAGCTGAAAGAGATGGTTGCACTTGGCAGGCTCATTTTCCCATAAAATGTGCCCGGGGTGGTGCGTGTTATGTCTGAAGCTGTGTAGCTAAGGGACAAAGCAGGCGCCTGCTCTGAAGGTCAAGCAAGGGGTGTCCTGAGATGTCCCTTCATGACATGCCAGATTTGCCTTCTGCATCTGGGGACCCATGGCGGGACGAAGAGCGCCGGGATCTCAGCTCTGTGCTGGCGCCCTGGGCCCGGCTGCGGCTCTGGGCTGCCGACTTCCCCGTTTGTGCATGCTGCAGACACAAACGCATTTTAATATAAGGAAGCAAAAGTCAGAACCCACCATCGGGGCTTCTCGTTCCCAACCATCCATGCCCACGAGGCACTTCATGCTGTCTTCCTCGCCCATGAGGTGCTGTTTCATAGACCTTCGGACCCACTACAAACCTCGATGGAGGGCTGACCACATGTACGCACACAGTTGTTAAGGTTAAAACAAGCCCCAGCCCCCCAGCACACAAAGAATAGAACCAAGCCATCCCACATTCATCCCTACAGACAGCGCAAATGACCTGTTTGCATGGCTGCTTCCACCCCATCAGCTCCTCTTGGGCGTCCTTCTGTGTGCCATCCCCCACCTGCCCCCCCCTCGCCGCCCCCAGGACCCTTCCTAGGCAAATGCCGATGGCTGTTCAAGTGGACCTTGGAGAGCTGAGGTTATCACCCCCCCAGGGAAAACCCCCTTCCTGTGCTTTTCTCCCAGGCGGGTGCACTCATCACATTGTTAATTTTAGCTCTTTAATGATGCTTTGCTACTGTAGGGACACAAAACAACCTTCCTGAGCCCATCTCTGCAGTCACCTTCTTTATCAGACACTCACCCAGCCACGTCCCCCGCACAGGTCACTCCAGGGTCAGGCATCCACAGCCAGAGGCACCCCTCCAGCCTGGAGCCTAGAATCAAACTACCCCATCCTAAGCTTCTGAAACCAGTCCACCCTGCCTCGCCTATTCCCTGGGTCACGCTCTCTTTTCCTTTCCTGCCTCTGACCCACCCTGGTGCTTAGCCACGTGGCCCCGCCCGGTGTGGTGTGCCTCCTCTTTGGGGACCTGTAAACTTTTCTCTCCAAGGCAGTTGTCTCCACACCTATCACCTTACTGTAGCCGAGGAAAACAAAACCCCGGGAACATGATGGAGACAGCAGGACTGTTCCCCAAACCGAGAGAACTAGCAAGAGAATGCCTGTTGGTCTCTGTCCTCCTCCCCGCCTCGGGCCCCCCAGCACTGCCCTTGCTGATGGGAACCTCTCCGGCTGGCTTTCCCTGGCACTGGAAATGCTCTGGGCACCTGGTGCCGGAGACCTTGGGAACCCCGGCCGAATGTCTGTGCCCATGTCCCTGTCTCCCTCGGCCATTGTGACCTGACTTATTTATGGACCGGCACTTGAAATATTGAGTGCGGTCTGCGTTTCCAGACCAGAGCAGCCACAGACCTCCCTGTGTGCTCCAGACCAGAGGACGGGCGTGCAAATCGACATTCTCCTCCCCCGTAAATCAGCCCAGTCCCCAGGATTCCTGTCCGGGGCCCAGGGATTTTTCTGAGGAACAGCTCTGATTCAGGCAAATGTCCCAGAGGAGGGAGAAGCATCTTTCTTCTCCCTGTAAATGACTGTCCACCAAAGGGATCCCTCCCCGAGTCTCCGGCCGAGGTCGCCGTAAATCCTGCGCAGAAGAAGGCTGCTCTCTCTCGCTCCCCATAGTAACCGACTGAAGTCAAGGTGCACACGCCAGGCTCTGTATTCACCTTGCACTCTCCATGGAAATAGGCACTTGGAGACTGGAGACAAGTGAAAGGGGACAACTTCAGAGCACAGGGGCATGGGATGAGATGGTGTGGCCCTCCCCGTTCAGCCAGGGGTCCTGACTTTCATGTTAATGCGTCCCAGTACTTCACTGACTTGGCAGAAGCTGGGGGTCACGTGTACAGAGAACTGATCTCAGCTAAGCTGAGGTGTGTGTTTGGAGGGAGCCACGTCAGGGGGGGACAGACCAGTGTGGCCCTGGGAGTCCACACAACCACACTCGCCGTCACCGGAGCAGGCAGGTGATGCCTGGCTCCGCCCAGTGACATGCCGCTGCGTCTGTCCTTCCAGGGGCTCCCGTACAAACACATCATGACCCACCACCAGGAGCCCTCCCACCGCCACCTGATCAGCACGTATGACGACCACTACAACCGGCACAATTACAACCCGGGCCTGCCCCCACACCGCACCTGGGACAAACATACGTTGCAGTGGCTTCCAGAGAAATCCGACTTCCCCCTTCTGGGTATTTTATAATTCTAGATTTCCCCTGCATTGGGCTGCCAGGGGCCCACACCTGCCCAGGGCTGAGGTGTGACCAGGGGACCCTGATGCAAGGAGAGCATGAGAGTGAACCGATGGGGGGAGGAGCCCTGTTTGCCCCCAGGGCTGCCACCTGCCCTCTCCCCCTGACGCTGGGATGAGGCTGGTGGTGGGATGAAGCCCCACCTGTGCCCCGAAGCAGCTGGTTTACCCAGAGCACAGGTGGCAGGAGCAATGGGCCTGCACACTTGGATCGATCATTCATTTCCTAACTAGCACGGTGGTCCGGGTGCTGGGCCCCACTGTAGCCTTTGGACGCTTAGCAAGGACAAGCAGGGAGGAACTTCTGCCCTCAGGGAGTTGACGTTCCATTTGGGAGACAATTAAGACACCATTAAGAAATAAAATATCCTAAGATCTCATAGTTTTGGACTGGGGTGTGAGCTCTGATGGAAACAGGTAAGGCTAGAAAATGAGGTGGGTGTTGCTGGATCTCATCTGAGTGGGATGATGAGGGCTGGGCTTTCCTGAGGAAACAACTGAGTGGAGAAGGAGGGAGCCATGCAGGGATTAGGGGGGAGAGCATTCCAGGGTGGGGGTAGCTCCAGGAAAGCACCAACGCTTTTCGGAGGGATTTACCTGGGAGAGTAGCTTAGTCTGATTTATGTTTCAAGCTACCCCGATCCTTTGCCTCCCCCTCTTCGTAGTCCTACCCTTCAGTGAGTGCAATGGAACATAGGTCAGAGAGTGAACGGCTTGTCACTCTGCATTAATTTTTGCAAGGGTTTCTTCACCTTGCAAGCCCACACTGCTCCCTTCCCTGCTGGAGTGGGAGAGTTACCCAAGAGGGGGCGGTGCCCCCCTCAAGCAGGTCATGGGGCTGACTTCTCTGAGGCCTCCTGGTCCCTGGTAAGTACATGGCGAGCACCCCGGCCTGAGGGTCCCTGGAGCTGGCCCAGCCAGCACTCGCCCGCGAGCCTGCCCTCCCTCCCGGCACTGCCGGCTGAGGTCCTGCACCTGCTTCCTCTTGCAGCTCCCCCTACCAACTACGGGCTCTATGAGCAGCTGAAGCAGAGGTGGCTCCCTCCCGAGGCTGGTCTGCGAGAGAGCACCTACACTTCGTCTTACCCCCGACCACCGCTGTGCGCCCTGTCCCGGCGGGAGCATGCCATCCCGGTCCCTCCGCCTCGCCTGCACCCTGTCCCACGCTTCTGAGAACCACCACCCCATGGGCAGCACAGGCGGCACCAGTGGGGCCTGCCAGGCGGGAGGCGCTGCGGAGACAGCCCGAGCTCTAAATCCAGCCCTTGTCAGAGGGGCCCTCAGAACTATGGTCTGGGTTTAGGGCTCCCGCCCCTCCTCCACACCCATGGTTCCTGTCTTTCTCACCCCACGATTAAAGCTCTTTGACATGGTGGAGTGTCGTGTATGGGCAGAAGGTAAGACTGTTAGAAGAAACAAAAGGACCCTTAAGTTTCACTCCCTTGTTTCACAGGAGGGGAAACTGAGGCCCAGAGAGGTCATGTGACTCCGTCAAGTTCTCACAACTGGGTCTGTACCTCCCAGGAGTCTCTGATCCAATGGGAGAAACATATCTGACTACAAGATGCTTCTTGAAAATTCCATGAAAGAGTCAAGTGTGATTATGGGGAGGGCAGCCCCAAAGGGGTGCCGTGGGCCTGTCGTTGCCCCTGAAGAGGCGCACTTAAACTTGAGGGCTCAGAGGAGGGGAAGATATACAGAGTCTCCCCTCCACTTCCTGACTCTCGGATCTTTTTAGGAGTTTGGGGATGGGGAGTTTTTAGACGAGTGGCTGGGGGAGAGGGCAGACCCCTGGTGCACAAACTTGGGTCTGTTCCAGCACAGGGACTCGGTGCTGTCCTCGCCCGGGATGGAGTCCCCTGAGACGTGCGCTACCACCTGCTGTGGAGGCCACCTGGGGCCCAGAGCAGCTCCTCCCTGATCCGCCCCCTTGGACTGCCAGCATTTGAACCACAGAGCCTTCCTGTGAACAACGGCCTTTCTCTGCCTTACGCCCCCTCCCCAACTGTTGGCATCCACTACTGTAGAGACAGCTCTGGGTATTCAGTGGGCACTTACTACTCCCTGGCTGGGTGAATGAGTGAACCCTTGTCTCCTGGAGCTTCCCCATGAACCCCCACTCTGCCTCACTTGTTCCACCCCTCCTGTTCTCCGGCATGAGCCCCCTCTGTCCAGCAGCTTCCTGTCAAGGTAAGAATGGGCAACCAGGAGGCAGGACTCAACAGACCGAGGAAAATGCTTCCCAGGATGACCATGTGCAGTTTCTTTTAGACTTTGGGAATTCAGGAGGCGCTCTAAGGAGAATTACGTGAATGTGGGAGAAAGCGGGGTGGGGATTGGATTACGGGGGAGTTAACAAGATTATGTGCTCTCCTGAGGGTGCCATGACCCCAATTCTGAAGAAGAGGCGGGCGTGTTAGTCTTGGGCATGAGTGTCCACCATGACCCATCCAGGTGGCAATTTATGATCAGCCCGCCCTATGAGGTTACTTTCGGTAGATTTATTACAGAGCCCCTGCACTCCCTTTTTTTGTTCACAGTCCTAAAACCCCTGCCCCAGGGGGGACCTCCGTATCTAGGCCCCAACCACTCTGATGTCTACAGATATTCTTCCCAGATCTCAGCCTCTCCCCGCTCCTGACTCAGCAGCAACGAGCCCCTCGATTCCTTGGTCAGCCTCGGAGAGGACATCGGCTCCTCGCCTCTGTGTCCTGGAGAGCCTGGCCGCCCGTCCACGCCACTGCTGCTGAGGCAGCGCACCTGCTCCGTCACCAAAACAAACCAACCAGAAATAAACAACAGAGAAGTGAGTGGATTGGGCTACTTTTCTATGATTTTTCTCCACATTTTTGAGGGGTCACTTGCTACCACATTCTGGCAAATCATCAAGAAAAAGTGGCAGAAGAAAAGTTGAGATTGTATTTATTGTGGGGAACCCAGTGCAGGACGGGGGGCTTTGCCGGGTGGTCCTGTTGACTGTCACCGCTGCCAGCCATGACTGGTGTCCCAGGGCAGGGGTTGGAAGTGTCATTTCTGCCCAGCGGAGGAGGCCGAGCCCCTCTGGTTTATCTGTGCAGTTTGGTTTTTCGTGATGGCAGATTCTGCCGTGGGAACAACTTGGTGCCTTGCAGATCTGGGGCTTCCTCCCGCCGCCGCGGAGCCCACGGCACTGGAAGGTCACCACGAAGCATTAACATGGGCGGCGCGTTGTCCAGCGCTATGGACCACAGGGTGTCATATTCAAGAGCAGGGACAAACAGGTGGGCCTTAGAATTCTGCCTCCACCACTGGCAGGCCGCGGGGCCTCGAAGAAGCCACTCCCCACCCCCCCCAATCTCTCTCTTCCTCTGTCAGTGATCATCTCTAAGGCAGAGAAAATACTGAGTCCAGTGACTGGTGCGGAGTTAAGTCCTGCATACATGTTGGTGGCTGTTGCTCAACATTCAGAGGCAATGGACATAATCAAGAAAACAATCCAGGCCACGGAGGACAGCTCAGACCTGAGTCAGAGCCCACTCACAGGGCAGCTGTTCCTTCCGCTGGGACCCAGTGCCTTAGGAGCTCTGCCTGCTGGTGGGACGAGCCTGCCCCCTGGTGGCCAACTTGACACCAGTTTACAAGGGGCCTGCAGTCCAGCCGGGCACTGTGGCCTGGCCCGGATGAGCCTGATGAAGGCGGAAGACACACTGTAATCCTTTGCTGCAGACCTGAGACTGACCTTGGTCAGCGGCCTGGCTTTAAAATTCCCCAGGCCTTCATCTTCTCTGCAGTTTGTTGAGCTAATCCCATCATCCTCTGGGGAGGGGCAGAGACAGAACCTCTCTTTTGCCCTCAAGGGTGACACTGTCTCCACTTTAGCTTGTGCCCTTTTAGTGTCTCGACTCACCCAGAGAGAAGTTTCTCAAACCCTTTTCTCTCCCAGAAAAGCGCCGTTTGTTATGTGGCATTGGGTCATTCATTCGGGACGGCCTGGCTCCACCCTGCCCAGCCCCCACCCTGGCTCCCGGAGGCCGTTCTGACCTGCCCTCCTTCGGAGAAGCCCAGCAATTCAGGGGACCAGCCTGTTCTCAGCTGCCTGTCCCTTGCTCCCTGTGTGAGCTCAGGGTCTGCTCCGGTTCCTGACAGAAAGCCTAAGTGACAACTTGAGGCCCAGATACATTTACTTTCTTTTCTTTGGGGACGGCACCATCGTCCTCCCGAAGCTGTTTTAACCCTGGGACACTTTGATAATTTTGCTGTGGCCAGAGGTCCCCCAGCAAAGATGCTTTCTGATTTCGCGTTTCCCCTGACGGAAGCCAGGAACCGATTGCACCCTTCCCTGGCTCAGGCCGAGGGTGACAACTGCTGGGCCGTCAGCAAAACTCAGTCCTGAACTTGTCCCTTCCCTGATTCTCGCCCTTCCTTAGGGTTAAGGGCTAGAGATTGAGGAATCTAATTAGGTATTGATTTCTGATTGGATGTTGATCATGGAAAAGGGGAAGATGTGAATACAAAGGTCTATGAAAGCCTCGGACACCAAAGAAGAGACACAGAAGCTCATCTCTGGAGTCACTGCTGGGGCCTTCATCAGGTCTGAGCACCCAGCCAACTGCATCAGCGCAGGTGAGTTGCCCCCTCCACTGAGGACGCCCCCTCTTACTTAAGGCAGCTGGTCTCTCATGGGGGCATGCAGTCCGGGAATGGCACGAAGACCCTTCTTTTTTCTTTCTCTGCAAACCAGTAGATTTAAGTGTTCGGTTTTGCCTCTAAGTGTAGTTTTGCTCGAATCCCAAGCATTTCAATTTGTGATTTGGTTTGTTATTTTTAACTATCTTAACGGAGCTGATTTCATTTTATTTTTTTGTGTGTTTCTTCTTCTATTTGTTTTGTTTTTGTTCCTTTCTTTTTTGTTTTGTTTCTTTTCATTTTCATGTGTATGTTTTTTGTTTTGTTTTTGTTCTTTTCTTTTTTGTTTTGTTTCTTTTCATTTTCATGTGTATGTTTTTTGTTTTGTTTTTGTCCCATTTAAAAAGGTTAAAGATGGACTTCTGGCCAAGATGGAGGTATAGGTAGACACACTGTGCCTCCTCGCACAACCAAAAAGACAACAGCAAATTTTAAAATAAAAACCAACCAGAACGGACAGAAAACTGAACTGTATGGAAGTCCAACAACCAAGGAGTTAAAGAAGAAAAATTCATCCAGAATGGTAGGAGGGGTGGAAACAGGCAGCTGGGCAGAGAGGACCCACAGCAAGGTACGCGGATAGAAGACTGGTCGGGTGATGTAGTGGCTGGCAGACTGGGTAGTCCCACGTTCAAGGGCAGATAAACTGGGAGGAACAACTGGGGAGCTAAGCAGACCGCACAACCGAGGGCTCCAGCGCAGAGAAATAAAGCCTTAAAAACTTTGATCAAAAATACCTGTGGGGGTTGCGGCGGCAGCAGGAGAAACTCCCAGCCTCACAGAGAGTTTGTGGGAGATCCACAGGGGGGTCCTAGAACATACACAAACCCACCCACCTGGGAATCAACACCAGAAGGGCCCAAGTTGCTTGTGGGTAGTGGAGGGAGTAACTGAGAGCCGGCTGAGAACTGAGCAAGTGGCGTTCTCTCTCCGAGCCCTTCCTCACAGACAGCATTGAGACAATGCACGTGGGTTGCTGCACCCCTAACTACATAACAGGCATGCTGAGACCCCCCCCAAAAAATGGCCAAAATTAAAGAACAGATCAAAGTTCCAGAAAAAATACAACTAAGCAACAAAGAGATAGCCAACCTATCAGATGCAGAGTTCAAAACACTGGTAATCAGGGTGCTCACAGAAATGGTTGAGTATGGTCACAAATAGAAGAAAATGTGAAGGCTATGAAAAGTGAAATACAGGAAAATGTACAGGAAACCAACAGTGATGGGAGGGAAACTGGGACTTAAGTCAACACTTTGGACCAGAAGGAAGAAATAAACATTCGACCAGAACAGAATGAAGAAACAAGAATTCAAGAAAATGAGGAGAGGCTTAGGAATGTCTGGGACAGCTTTGAACATTTCAACATCCAAATCATAGGGGTGCCAGAAGGAGAAGAAGAAGAGCAAGAAATGAAAAGCTTATTTGAAAAAAAAAAATGAAGGAGAACTTCCCCAATCTGGCAAAGGAAATAAAGTTCTAGGAAGTCCAGGAAGCTCAGAGGGTCCCAAAGAAGTTGAACCCAAGGAGGAACACACCAAAGCACATCATAATACATTACCCTAGATTAAAATAAGGAATCTTAAAAACAGCAAGAGGAAAGGAGATAGTTACTTACAAAGGAGTTCCCATAAGATTGTCAGCTGATTTCTCAAAACAAACCTTGCAGGCAAGAAGGGGCTGGAAAGAAGTATTTGAAGTCATGAAAGGCAAGAGCCTACATCCAAAATTACTCATTTAGAATGAAAAGGCAAATAAAGTTCTCCCCAGATAAGGTTAAGTTAAAGGAATTCATCATCACCAAGCCCTTATTATATGAAATGTTAAACGGGCTTGTCTAAGAAAAAGAAGATTGGAAATATAAACAGTAAAATGACAACAAACTCACACCTACCAACAAGTGAACCTAAAAAACAAAACAAACTAAGCAAACAACTAGAACAGGAAAAGAATCATAGAAATGGAGATCACATGGAGGGTTAACAGCAGGGAGAGGGAGGGGGAGAGGGAGGGGCCAGAATGGGGGAAAAAGTACAGGGAATAAGAAGCATAAATGGTAGGTACAAAATAGACAGGGGGAGGTTAAGAATAGTATAGGAAATGGAGAAGCCAGAGAACTTCTATGTACGACCTATGGACATGACCTAAGGGAGGAGGGAATGGGGGCAGGAGGGGGTGTGCAGGGTGGAGGGGAATAAAGGGGAAAAAAATGGGACAACTGTAATAGCATAATCAATAAAAGATATTTAAAAAATGTTAAATGTGAATGGCATGCATTAGAGGGGCGTCTGCTCAACCTTCCCCAGTGGGCTAACTGCAGGAATGGAGGGTGTAGGCTGTTTGGGCCTCATGACGTCTCCATCTCCGTCACTTCGGGGCAACGAATGGTCTGTAAGTTCCCCTCCAGAAGGGCGGGGTCAGCTTTCAGGCTCCTCCGTCCCCATGTCCCGGCTGCCCAAGAATCAGAGATGTGGGTGCCTCTGAGATGCTTGCCCCGGGCCAGCAGGGGCAGGCTGGAGCTGGGTAAACTGAGGCCCTCACCATCACCGGGCGGTGGCTTTGGCCCTGAGTCGGGTCTTCTGAAGGGCGGGGAGTCAGATGCTGGGGGTGCTCACACTTGGACTGGCAGGGGTGCTTTGTCTTCTAGACGTGTGCACAGAACTCCCTCTGGAACAGATCGAAGATGAGCTTCCAGACCCCACCCAGGCTCCTGGACCTGGCGGGGCAGAGCCTGCTGGGGGACGAGGCCTTGGCCGACTCGGCCCTGGAGTGCCTGCCCTCCGAGCTCTTCCCGCCGCTGTTCATGCAGGCCTTTTTTGGGAGACACAAGGAGTCCCTGAAGGCCATGGTGTCTGCCTGGCCCTTCGACTGCCTCCCTCTGGGGGGCCTGATGCAGTTGCCTCAGTATGGGACCCTGCGAGCCGTGTTCGACGGGCTGACATCCTGCTTGCCCAGAAGGTTCGCCCCAGGTGAGGCCGATCCAGGTAGCCCCGTAGGGTCCTGGGCATCCCGGAAGACAGCTGGGGTCCGGCAGTGTGGGGGGCCGAGGGGGTGGGCCAGAGGTTTCTGAGGGTGACAGGGACATTCAGATAAGCTTGGGGGCCTGCGTACAAGGCAGGGGCACCTGGAAAAACATGCCCTGCATCCTCCCCACGGTACTTAAAGGTACTAGACCTGCCGACCAGGAAGTATGGAAGGGAAGGAGATGGAGACAAGCAAAGCAGAGAAGGCAGAAGAGGAAAACTGAAGGAAAAACTGATGTTGGGGCGCAAAGTGAAAGCTTGGGGGGTGGAATCCAATGGTTGCCTCACGCTCTCAGGCTCACTGATCCGCTCTCTTTCTGTAAAGCACCTCAGCCAGTGCCCGTTTCCCCCGCAGGCGGTGGAGACTGCGGGTGCTGGATTTATGGAACACCGGCCAGCACTTCTGGAGCAGGTGGTCTGGAGCCAGGGCCCCGGAGCACTCCTGGACCGGGCCCGCGGCCGAGGGCTGTTCCGGGACGCGGCAGCCCTTGGCCCCCTTGGAGGTGTTCATAGACCTTTGCTTCAGCCATAGGATCCAGGATCATTTCTTCACCTACATCATCTCATGGGCCAAGAAGAGGGAAGGATCCCTCCACCTGTGCTGTAAGACGCTAAAGATTTTGGCGGTGCCCGTCAAGAACATCAAGTCCCTGGCCCTGGTGCAGCTGGACTGCATCCAGGAGGTGGAAGTGAATTGCCCCTGGAGCCTGTCCAGTCTGGTCATTTTTGCGTCGTACCTGGGTCAGATGACCAACGTGCGCAGGCTCTCCCTGTCCCATATCCACATGCCGGCCTCCCAGGAAGAGGAGCGGGAGGAGGAGCTCCACCTCACTCAGTTCGCCTCCCAGTTTCTCCACCTGCGGCGCCTGCAGGAGCTGCATCTGGAATCTCCTGCCTTTCTCGCAGGCCACCTGGACCGGATGCTCAGGTGAGCTGTGTGACAGTGAGCCTGACAGCAGAACGTCAAGTGCTCTGTCTTGTTCACTCCTCTGAAGGGTGGTATCACACAGCCCCCCAAAGAAAGGAGGAGGGACAAACTGGCAGAGGGGGCTCAGAGCCAGCCAGGGTGGGCCTCTCAATGATTCCTTAGGGAGAGATGTCTAGGTTAAGGTGACTTCCGAAGAGGTGAGTGAAGAGGAAAAGGCACATGAGATGGAGCATTTCCAAAGATGAGCTCCGTGCCTGCCGGCTGCGTGAACGCAGACGGCCCTGTCTCAATTCCCCCGCCTGTGAGAAGTGGTTTCGTGCTCGAGGTAAGACAAGCAGTAGATGGGAAATGCATGGTTCTGGAGATTGGGGAGCAGGGGTGCAAAGGGTGACCAAAAGTGAGAGATGGTTTGCGGGTAACCCTTGCAAACTGGCCACCCCAGCTGGTGTGGCAGGATCGTGCCCAGGTGTGTTCTTTCTGCCTCAGAGGAACTCGCCTCACGTGGCCCAGATATCCCGGCACCTGGGGCCCCAGCCATGGACAGAAGGAAGCCAGAGTGGAGAGCGTTTTTGGTTTTATCCCCCGGCATTAGGATTCAGGGGTGCCTACACTTGATCGAGGTACTCGCCAAGCATGTTCCAGTGTTTCCCATTTATCCATCCACCCTCCCAAGTGGAGTGCTCTGCCTGACAGGTGAGGAAAGGAAGCTTTGGAGATTCCAGGAACTCGACCCAGTCACATAAGTGGAGGTGAAAGGACTCTGCCTACAGCAAGGCTGGGCCTGGCCGTTGGCCTTCATTGGATGGTCAGAGCCACCCAGCACTTGGACAAACCAGTCCTCTGCCACCCCCACGCCCCAGAACTAACTGCCCTGTCTCTCCCCAGCTGCCCTGCACACCTGCTTGGAGACCCTCTCCATAACAAACTGCCTGCTGCTGGAATTGGACATGATGCACCTGTCCCTGTGCGAGAACCTCCATCAGCTCAAGCACCTGGATCTGAGTGGCGTCTGCCTGACCGAGTTTGATCCCGAGCCCTTCTATGTGTTGCTCGAGGAAGTCACGGCCACGCTCCAGGTCCTGGACTTAGTTTACTGCGGGATCACGGACGCTCTCGTCGAGGCCATTGTGCCTGCCCTCAGCTGCTGCCACCAGCTCAGGGCCCTCAGCATGTCTGGGAACCCCCTGTCCCTGGCCACCATAGGGAGGCTGCTGCACCACACCACCAGGCTGGGCAGTCTAAGCTTAGAGCTGTACCCGACCCCTGTGGAGAGTTACAACCCCTACGGGGCCCTTGAACTGGGGAGACTCGCCCACGTCCGGGATGAGCTGACAGGGATGCTGAGGGACTTAGGACGGTCCAGGACCATCCGGATTAGCGCCAGCCCCTGTCCTCACTGTGGCCAGCCGGTATCCTCTCAGATGGAGCCCATTATATTCTCCTGTGATAACCCTGCTTAATGGGGTGCATCCAGCAAAAGCTTCCTCCCGGGCACTGGGAAGCTGAAACCCAGGACCCAGGGGCAGACAAGGGACACACACCCATGTTGCAGACATGTGCGCAGTGTGAAAGGGGAAGGGCGGGGGATCCAGCCAGGGTGCAGGAATGCAGGGGCAAATGTTGGGGACTTGATGGGACATTAGGTGACAAGTGCCCCATAGAGTTGGAAACATGAATGAATTGTGGAGGGGGGAGGTGGGCTTTCGGTGCACGGGTGGGAGTTACCTTGGAGTGGACGGTTGCAAGGGGATGGTCAGAAATAAAGAAAATTTCCATGGCAACAGTCTGGTCCTCCACGATATGTTGACCTGTGCCCCCCGTGTACACCTCAGGGCTCTCCGGGTACTAATGAAAAGGAAAGAAGTCGCCGAGTTGTCAGGGTCAGAAACTCTGGCGGCCAGGATGCAGTTTGGCCGCAGGGCTCCCAGCAGTGATCGTGTCCTTGCCTCCAGTTCTTCACTCCCGTCTGGGGCTTCTCGTACCTCCTTGTGGCTGCTCAGTGGGTTCACACAACTGGAACACACCAAGTGGCCAAGGAGCCCCCACAGTGAAGGGGATCTCACTGCGAACTCAGGCAGTGACCCTGGACATGAGCATTCATCAGGCTTCTCCGGGTGGACCCATAAGTCTCAGTTCCTAGCCTTGGATGTGCCAGGGAGGGTTCGCCACACCGGACAGGGCCCCCAGTGTGGAGGGAGTCATCCACACTTCAGATGAACGGAGCCGCTGGGCCTCCCCAACCCACTCCTGTCGTCCTGGTGGGTCGCAGTGCTTCTGAAATTGACCTGCGTGTGGCCAGTAAAAACACCCAATTCCTTTTAGCAAAATACTAAAATTATTCGGGCATATAGCATTTTTTCTTCATGTTTCTGCACCGTGTTAAAAGTGTAACCTTTTGCGGGGCTAGGTCATATCGATGAGAGATCGACTTTGCTCCCCTAACACCTCCTGACCCTCCCTGTCAGGGAGGACTAGAACAGCATGTTTGGAAATCAGTATGTCCGGATGGGCAACAGAAGCGGCCTTGCTTGTGCTAAGTCTCTGTGTCGGGCAGAGTTCTGCTGACTCACCGGCAGGGTGCACATCCGCGTAAGCAGGAGATTCAGCTCAGGGATTGGCTTGCGCAGTCACGTGGTCCGAGAAGTCCCACCATCTGCCCTCTGCTGGCGACAGAACCACAAAGCCGAAGGTGTAATTCAGTCCAAGTCCGGAGGCCTGAGGGCAGGGGGCAGGGGGAGCCCATGGTGTAACCCCCAGTCTGAGGCCACAGGCCTGAGAACAAAGGGCAGCGGGTGTAAGTCCTGGAGGCTGAAGCCCTGAGAGCCAGGAGCTGCGATGTCCATGGGCAGGAAAGGATGCACATTTGAGCCAAAAGAGAAAGAATTCCTCCTTCCTTCCCCTTTAGGTTCCATGGGGTCCCAGGAGATTCTGGCCTTGGTCACTGAATCAAATCCTAATCCTTTCAGGCACACCCAAGATTGTTACCGCCGATCTTGGCGTCTCTCGGGTGGACACAGAGTTAACCCATCACAGTGACATCCTACACAAAGGGCGGCTGGATGAAGGCTCCCAGCTGAGGACGCAGGGGCTGGAGCTGTTGAGGGCGGGGAGGGACCTTAGGCAAGAAGCTCAGTTTCCCTGTGAAATGAGGTTCACGGAGCTCACTCAGCTGAGCGGATTCTTGCAGCCTCCAACGAGATGATGCCTGTGAGGGCGTATAGTAAACGCTCAATACGTGAATTTTTCCTTCTTTTCCCCTCCCAGGAGAAGCCCCCAGCATTCACCCTTCAATCTTATTCTCCACTCATAAGAACGTGGAGGAGAGCAGAGCACAGGGCATGCAATGGAACTCGGCTTCTACCTCAGCCAGCAAAGGTCATGATTTACCCCAAACAGCTCTAGCAGTCAGCCTGTGGGGAGGGGTGGGCAGGTAGGGGAGAGGGGCTCTGACATGTGAAAGATTGGATTTGTCCCTGGTGAATAGCCGAAAAACATTTCCAAGCTGTAGGATTCAAGCGCCATCTGCTGGTCAGACCGGGTGACGTGTTAGTGTTGCAAGCAGGGCCGTGCTGTTTTAAAAAATACCTGCTCTTCCAACAAAACACCCCACCGAATTTTTTTAAAAATTAAAAAATTAAAGCAAAAAATACCCTGCTACTATATAGATGCTATTTGAGCATATATATGTTGTGATTTGTGCAAGTATTAGAGATACAAATAGCCTTTTAAAATGATAAAGGAAATATAGCACTTTTAAAGAATGCAGTGGATTTTAAAAAAAATGTTTAGCTGGATTCAGAGCCTCAAAACAAAGTTTAAAGCTGATTTTAAAGATCAATGACCAAGAATTGCTTCTTTTTAAAAAGTGTTTAGAATAATAAAATTTTAGAGCTGGAAGTGTTACAGTTATCTTTTTACAAGTGGACTTTATCTTTTAGGGCAGTTTAGGTTCATAGCAACATTGAGCAGAAGGTGGACAGAGTTCCCATGGACCCCCTGCCCCTCCCCACACATGGCCTCCCCACCATCAGCACCCCTACCGGGTGGTACATTTGATACAACCGATGGGCAGACCCCGGCATGTCCTCACCACCCAAAGTTGGTAACTGGCATTAGGGATCGCTCTCAGTATTGTACAGTCTACGGGTTTGAGCAAATGTATAAAGACATGTACCCACCATTGTGGGATTGTACAGAGTCATTTCATTACCCTGAAAGTCCTTTTTTGTCTTCCAGAAGTCTTATAGCTCTAGTTTTCACATGTAGATTATAATCCATCCCCAGTTCATTTTTATGAATGGTGGGAGTAAGTTTTGGGGGTGTTTTGTTTGTTTTGTTCCCACGTGGATGTTCTGTTGCTGTTGAAAAGACCTCTATGTCCCCATCGAATCACCGTGGCACCTTATCAAAACTGACCACACCCGTGGGGGCCTGCTTAACCATCCCCTGTTCTGCTCTGTTAACCTGCGTGTGGGCACCACACTGTCCTGGTTACTGTGGCTTTTACTAAGTCTTGAAATCAGGTGGCGTGAGTCTTCCAAAACATTATTGTTTTGTACAATTGATTTGAGGCTAAACAAAGTTGTTTGCATTTCCACATAAGTTTCAAAATAAGCCTGTCAATTCTACAAGATAAAGCTTAATGGAATTTTGATTAGGATCGAATCTATAGATTTGGGAAAATCGACACTTTAACCACATACGAAGTCTATCAAGTTGTGAAAATGCTGTCTCCATTTGCTCAGGAACTCTTTAATTTCTTTCCACCCTACTTTACAGTTTTTAATGTACGGGTCTTGAACATGCTTTATTACACTTACCCCATTGTGCTTTTGGATGCTCTCATAAGTGGAATTTCAAATTCAATTTCCAATTGTTTGTTACTCACAGCTAGCATAGACACACAATTGATTTTTATACAATATATTGATCTGTGGCCTGTGACTTTGCTCACTTCAGTTAGTTCTGGTGGTTTCGGTGCGGGTCCTGTATGCTTTTCTATGTGGGTGTTTATGTTGTTTGCGGGGATAGACAGTTAACGTCTTTTCCAACTTGTATGGCTTTTCTTTCTTTTCGCTGCCTGGTGCCTGACCAGGAGAAAGCATTCAGTTCTTCGTGATTAAGTATGAATTTGGCTATAGGTATTTTGAGATTGGCTTTGATCATATTGAGAAATTATCTTTTATTTCTATTTTGTTGAGAGATTTTTAAAAATCACAAATAGATCATTGAATTTTGTCAAATCCTTTTTTAAAAAAATTGTTACCTTTATTTTTATTTATTTATTTATTTATTTATTTATTTATTTATTTATCTTTAGAGGGGAAGAGAAGGAAAGAGGGAGAGAAACATCAATGTGTGGTTGCTTCTCATGTGTTCCCTGCTGGGAACTGGCCTGTAACCCAGGCATGTGCCCTGACTGGGAATCGAACCTCGATTGTCTGGTTCGCAGGCCCGCACTCAATCCACTGAGCTACACCAGCCAGGGCCAGATGCTTTTTTTTTTATTGCACTATTGAGATGATCATATGTTTTCTTGCTTTTATTCCATTGATATGGTGAGTTATGTTGATTGATTTTCTAATGTTAAACCAATCTTGCATTCCTGGAGTGAACCTCTCCTGGGAATTAAATCACCGGAAGAGAAGCAGGGAGATGGGATTGGCAGAGGTGGGGGGTGGGAGGCAGAGGTGACGAGCCTGGGCCTTCATTTTACTATTATTTCCCGACTGTGTGCATATATATTTCTGTGCATATATATTATGGCAGAGCCCCTTGTTTGTAGGTATTTTTCACAATAAAATGTATTATAATAAAAAGAGTAACAACAGGCTAACACATATGAAAATCAAAACCAAAAGGGAAAGTTTCTGGAGAAATGGGAAATGACACAATATGAGCAAGAAGAAACAAAATCTGGAACGGACGGATCAAAGAACCGGAATGGGAAGCCGAGGAGCCTGCTGTCCCAGACAGCTCCGTTCCCACGCACTTCCCCACGCCTGCTGTCCGGGGGCTCCTGCCTCACACGAGAAGTCCCAGAAAATGGGCCGTAGGAACAGCTGTCCTTTTGTTCTGTGGGGCCAGCTGGCACCTACGCTTCACACCCAGTACGGGCACGAGGAGGAAAGTGTTGTGAATTACAGGCCCATTTGGCAAACATTCTTAATTCGGCTGAGTCCACATGCGTTAAAAAGTAATCTATCGTGGCCAAGGGAAGTCCATTTCAGGAAGAAAGCAAACTCTGAAACTATTGGCGTAAATTCACCACAGTGACAGGCTAAAGAAGGGAAACCACAGTTGCCTCAAAACTTCAGAAAAGAATGTTGGAGAAATCAAATCACATTTGGGTTAAGAAAGATTCTTTGAAAAATCAAACATCATGTACTCAAAACTCCTATTAAATGTCAGATGCGGTGCAGAAACTTTAGCTGCCTCCTTACTGGGATAAAATAAGGCC